CAGCAGCAGCAGCAGCTGCTGCTGCTGCTGCTGCTGCTGCAACGTCGCTGTCCTCGTCTAAAGCTGCACGTGCTGCTGCATGCAGACGGTTCTGCCGCAGCAGGTCACCTGCAGCACTACCAAAAGTTGTGGTGTTAGCAAGACGAGAGAGCCGCTGCAGATCCTGCAGCAAACAATAAACCCTAAACCCTAAACCCTAAACCCTAAATAAAGCCTAAACCCATTCTCATACTTTCCATAGGTGTCAGTCAAAACCCCGCAGTGCCAAACTGCTCATAAGCGTTAGGGTTTAGGGTTTAGGGTTTAGGGTTTGACCTGGGCAGAGGCTGGCTGCGGCACCTCCAGCTGCAGGTATTCCTGCAGCGCAGCAGCAGCATCTGCTTCTTCAATAACAAGAGCATATCTGCTTTGAGGGTTTAGGGTTTTCATAAACCCTAAACCCCTTAAATGCCTCCCTTGTGCTGCTCCTGCAGCTCTATACTCTACTATTTCTGCTGCAGAGTATAAGAGACGCAGAGCCTCCCCTGACAAGCACACAAAACCCTAAACCCTAAACCCTAAACCCTAAACCCTAACCCTAAACCCTAAATGCAAATAACAAAGCCTATACTCTACGGGCATACAGCAAACAATAAACCCTAAACCCTAAACCCTAAACCCCATATGCAAACCACAAACCCTAAACCCTAAACCCTATCAACCCGAAACATAAACAGCAGGCAACTATTAATTCCACGCAGCAACCCCAAAACCCTAAACCCTAAACCACAGCCTGTTCCTACGATACAAACCCTAAACCCTAAACCCTAAACCCTGCATCCCCACAGCACAAACCGAAACCCGAAACCAACTGGCACGTGCACCGCTGCAGTCGCCTAACCCCTAAACCCTAAACCCTAAACCCTAAACCCTCACGCTGAAAGAGGTCTACAAGCAGCGGGAGCACCTGCGGCTCCAGCTGCTCCTCACATCCAACCTGCAGCAGCAGCTGCTGCAGCAGCTGATGCAATTGGGGTGTAACTTCCACCCCTCCCCTGCTGCTGCTGTTGCTGCCGCTGCTGCTGTTGCTGTTGCTGCTGCTGCTGCTGCGGGAATCAGAAGAAGGAGGCCCCGACATGCCCTCAGCACCCGTGCTGTCAGGGCTGCGTGAAGCTGCTGCTGCTGCTCCTGCTGCTGCTGCAGACGCCGACACTGCATTTCCCCCTTCGCAAGGGGGCTCCGATGCCTGACCTGCAGCAGCAGCAGCAGCAGCAGCAGCAGGAGCCGAGGCTGCATGCACTGGAAGCAGACGCGGAGTATTTCTGCAGCTACAATATGTGCAACTTACGGGCTACTTGCTGCTGCAGCCTTTGCTGCTGCTGCTGTTGCTGCTGGTGTTGCTGCGGCTGCTGGTGTTGCTGCTGCTGCTGCGATGGCTGCTGGTGCTGCTGCTGCTGTTCCTGCTTCGGCTGCTGCTGCAACTGCTGCTGCAGCGGCTGCTGCTGGTTTAAATGAGAGCCTGGAGGGCCGATGCTGCGTTGATGCTGCAGAAGCTGCTGCTGCTGTAGCTGTTGCTGCTGCAGTTGCTGCTGCTGCATTTGCTGCTGCTGCAAGTGCTGCTGCTGCATTTGTTGCGGCTGCACTTGCTGCAGATTACGTGGCGCTGCAGCACTCGAAGAGTCCTTAGAAGACAGTCTCTGCTGCTGTAGCTGTTGCTGCTGCAGCTGCTGCTGTTGCAAGTGTTGCTGCTGCAGCTGCTGCTGCAGCACGGGCTGCTGCAGCGGTTGCTGCTGCAGCACGGGCTGCTGCATCAACGGCTGCTGAAGCCCCGGCTGCTGATGGAAGTCCGTCTGCTGCAGCGGCAAGGCGTGATGCTGCTGCTGCTGCTGCTGCGGCTGGTGAGGAAGTGGCGGGTGCTGCGGGTTTTGCTGCTGCTGAGGCACGACCTGCTGCTGCCATGAAGCAAAGCCAGAGAGAGGAGGGTGCGGATGCGGTTGTTGTTGCTGCAGCAATAGCTGTTGCTGCTGCTGCAGCAGTTGCTGCTGCTGTTGCTGCTGCTGCCATTGCTGCTCCGGAAGCCAGGCTTGCTGCTGCTCGGGCCACTGACTACGGGTTATCGGCTGCTGCAGCTGCTGCTGCTGCTGCGGATGGAGCGGTTGTTGCTGCGGCAGGTGTTGCTGCTGCTGCAGCTGCTGCTGCTGCAGCTGTTGCTGCTGCTGCAGCTGTTGTTGCAGCAGCTGCTGCTGCTGCCACGCCATGCTGGCATTCCCGCAGCTTGGATCCTTTGCTGCTGCTGTTGCTGCTGCTGCTGTTGCTACTGCTACTGCTGCAGCTGCATGCGCCGCTGCGGCGTTGCTGTAGATCTGCTGCAGCAGCAGCAGCTGCTGTTAAGGGAAATTTCAAGAATTATCTCTAATAAAAACAATAATAACAACTTAATAAAATAAAACAAGAAAACATCCTCCCTCATGTGCAGCTGCGTTTACTTTTGGGGCCCGGAGCTGCCTATACACCTGGGGGCCTCTGCATGCAACTAAAGCAGAAGAAGAAAGATATAATAGCAATAATAGACAAATCAAAACAAATATTACACTTCTTGCAATATTATATAAACACATTCGGCTGCATGTACACCCCAAAAAGATGTATATTTTATACATTAGCAGCTGCAGCAGCAGCAGCAGCAGCAGCTGCTGCTGCTAGGCGGATGGATAATAATATATATTTTTAATTGTTATACTACGAAAATGTTATATAAAATATAATAATAATATTATTATTAATAATACAGCCCTTAGATGCACAAATGCTTCTCTATACCCCAGCACTTCGTCGCTGTAGCTGAAATATATATTCATTATATATAGTATATACAAAAGACAAAGAAGAAACAGCAGAAAAATAATGAAGACAAACAAGAGACAGCAGAAGTATAATAAAGACGAAGAAGAGACGAAAGAAATATAATAAACAAAGAAGAGACAGCAGCAATATAATAAACACAGAGAAGAGACAGCAGCAATATAATAAACACAAAGGAGAGACGAAAGAAATATAATAAAGACGAAGGAGAGACAGCTACTTATCTCTCCTCGTCCTTCTCTCTCTGCTCTGTCTTTTTAATATTATTTATTTTGCTTCCCTGCCTTTATTATATTTATCTGTCTCTATTACACTCCTTCTCTGTCTTCATTATATTTCTTTTTGTGTATTATACTTCATCTTCTTGTTTATTATATTTCTTCTTTCTTTTCTTTATCACTCTTTGTTCTCTCGCCAGGCGATCCGCAGCCCCCAGCAGAACACAGCACAAACAAAGCCTCCCCAACTCCCTGCTAGCTAGCTAGCTAGCCAGCTAGCTAGCTAGTCACATGCCCCCAGCTAGCTAGCTAGCTAGTCACATGCCCCCAGCTAGCTAGCTAGCTAGCCACATGCCCCCAGCTAGCTAGCTAGCTCGCTAGTCACATGCCCCAGCTATCTAGCTAGCTAGCTAGTCACATGCCCTCAGCTAGCCAGCTAGCCGCATGCCCCAGCTAGCTAGCTAGCTAGCTAGCTGGCTGGCTACAGGCCCCCAGTTAATGCTCAGCTACCCACGGAGCCCTAAGGCCCCAGCTCAAGCCCCGTTGCCTAGCCGGGCACAAGGTGCTAGCAAGTTAGCTAGCTATCTGGGTAGATAGACAGCTAGCTAGCTAGCAAGTTAGCTAGCTATCTAGGGAGCTAGCTAGCTAGCTAGCTACCTAGCTAGCTTACTGGTTAGAAGACGTACAGGCATGGGTTACGAACTCCAAACCCTAATTCGTAAACCCTAAACCCTCATGCCTCCTGTTGCTGCTGCTGCTGCTGCTGCTGCTACTGCTGCTTTTGCTGCTACTACGACTACTACTGCTGCTGCTGCTGCTTTCGCGTTGCTGCACGTCTTGCATGCATTTGAAGCGCTGTGTATATAAAAATGTTATTTTTATTTTTTTTTAATTTGTTTTCTTCGCCGATCCCCCGCCGGTCGTGCCCATACCCATAGCAGCCTGTGCAGAAACACCCGAGGGTTTAGGGTTTAGGGTTTAGCTGCGAGTGCAGGAAGCTGCTGCAACGTCGTCTGGCGGCAACAACCATCAGCAGCAGCAGGAGCAGCAGCAGCAACAGCAGCAACATACAGCAGCAGCAACAGATCCGGTCCTGCACGTGTCAGCTAGGGTTTAGGGTTTAGTTAGGGTTTAGGGTTTACTTTGAAGCTATCATATATCCACCACTGAAGGCCCGTCAAAGTGCCGATCATCAAAACGCGAGTGCCTAAACCCTTTGTAAATAAATTACCGTAACCCATCTCGCGCGCCATCTGTCCAAACCTGCCCATACACCCCAAACCCTAAACCCCAAACCCTAAACCCTAAACCCTAAACCCTAAACCCTAAACCCTCATACGAACCCTTTGCCTTTGTTTTCTGCTTTGCCCATCAGGGAGACCAGCGAATCTGCTGGATGCGAAACCACCGCACAGATAACGCCAGACAAATAACCTGAAGAAATAAACAAATAAATAAATATAAATAAATAAATATAAATAAATAAATATATAGATAAATATAAATAAATAAATATGTATAGATATAAATCTATGCATGCACACATAAACAAATATTTATAAATATATAAAAGGTCACAGACAAACACACCAAACCCTAAACCCTAAACCCTAAACCCTAAATAACAACCAACCAAACAAAGCAAACAAATAAGCAAAATAAACAAACAAAACATATAAATAAACAAATAAATAAACACAACAAAACAAAACCAGCAGACAAACAAACAAAACAAGAACAAAAACAAGCAAGCAAACAAACAAACAAACAAACAAACAAACAAATAAACAAACAAACAAACAAACAAACAAATAAACAAACAAACAAACAAACAAATGCGTATAGTTACCTGAGGCAAAGGTTATTCCAAGCTGTGTGGACTTTGCGTAGGAGTCTTTCGGGTGTATGAACACCTTATCATAGAACAACTGCACAATCTTCTCGAAGAAGAAAAACTTCGCCATAGTATAAGGAATCTGTCGGCTCCATAGGGGTACTACTGACCCAAACTGAAGCACAAACAATCAGCATTTAATAATAAACAATAAACCCTAAACCCTAAACAACCCTATTATATACCCTATTAAAATCTCTGTGAAAAAATCTATAAAAAACTCTATCAAAAACCCTAATTTGAAGAAATGCACAACCCATATCTAAACCCTAAACCCTAAACCCTAAACCCTAAACCCTAAACCCTCGGAATTCCAGCAGGCGACAGCCACAGAAAATCTGTATGAAGTGTGTTTCTTCGTTTGTGTGTCTAAGCAAGCTGCTAACTCTTCGTTGTTTAGGGTTTAGGGCTTAGGGTTTAGGGTTTAGGGTTTAGGGTTTAGGGTTTACGGGGAATTTGGTTTCTTGTCTCATTTGCATCATTTTGCATGCAGCAGCGGATAGAGAGGTTGGGAAAGAGTTTTTTGGTGATGTTTGTATTTTTACTTTAATCATCTCTAGAGGACATAGAGCAACATCAGCAACAAATTCAGCAGAAGCAGAGGCAGCAAGCCAAACAGCACCTTTATTATTAGCATATGTTTGTTCTCCAGCAATATTACCATATAGATCTTTGAAGTATTCATACAAACCGAACTTGAATAAACCCTGCATACTATATCCTATAAATGTAGGCGCCCAACCTAAGCGAAGCCCTGCAGCACCTTCTTCACTTAATATCGTCCTAAACCCTGATATAAGTCCTTTATATTTTTCAGGGTTTACCTGCATGCGGCACTTTACAACATCTAAAGGACATACAGCTGTATGAGTTAAGCCGCATGATAAAACACCTCCTAGCATACATTTTAGATAATAAGAAGAATTATGAGGGGTAGGGTGAGGCTTTCTTGTTAAAGCCTCAGAATATCTTGCATTCCATACACCAGAGACACTCGACAAAGAAGGTGTTTCCTTGCCTCTAACTGCCATAGACCCATCGGTGAAGCTAGAAGAAGAAGAGGAGTACTGAGTAGATTGACTCATTTCTTACGATTACACCGATCAATCAATACAAAAAATATAAAATAAATTATATTTTTCACACATAAAATACAAACAAACAATATTTTCCTCCCAAATTACTCTTTTCTTACAACCCCCTATTCATGCATGCACAAGCTGCACATACACCGCAAATATGCATGCATTAGGCGGATAAACCCGAAGCCCCTACCACTCAATTTCAGAAGAATAAATCATTAATTAAAACTATTAATGATTTATTTTACCTTTTCTAAACTATTAAGACTCCATATTTATACACATTTTTTAAAAACCTTCTCTACAGTGTACAGACATCAGCAGCGCATCGACGTGTAAACAACGCACATTGCAGAATCTAAAAAGAAATTTATTTTACATTGACTATAATTCTTCTCCTTATGTTCAATTTAAACTCACAAAACTGATGCATTAAGGTCTACGAGACACGGTTTAGGGTTTAGGGTTTAGGGTTTAGGGTTTAGGGTTTAGGGTTTAGAGGGTTTAGCAAGAGGCATACGTTAGCAGATGAATCTCCTGCCGTACCGCCGCCTCTTGCGGTCTTCTCACCTGCAGCAACTCGCTGCAGCAGATATTTCATCCAGCTTTATCGGCAGCAACAGCGGCAGATGCAGCTACTGCTACAGCTGCACCAGCTGCAGCAGCAGCAGCTGTAACAGCAGCAATAGCAGCAGCAGCAGCACCAACAGCAGCACCTCCAAGATGCGCCAAGCGTTTGGTAGGCTGCAACCACCGCGCTATAGAGCAAACGCAGCCGCAGCATCAGCAGCAGCACCAGCAGGAGAAGCAGCAGCAGCAATAACAGCAGCAGCAGCAGCAGCAACAACAGCAGCAACAGCAACAGCAGCAGCAACAGCAGCAGCAGCACGCAGAGGGTTCGGAACCCTCGCTTCAATTTCTTCAGCTCATCAATACGCCCAAACCTACGATGCGGCCTTTCTACCCAAGCGCCTGCGGAAGATCAAAGTAAACCCTAAACCCTAAACCCTAAACCCTAATGCCTGCATGGAAGGCGCATGGAAATTAGGGTTTAGGGTTTAGGGTTTAGGGTTTAGGGTTTGTTTGCAGCTATTTTCTTCTCGGCCCCACGATGATCTCGCGGCGTATTACCACGAGAAATTAAATAAGGCTAATTCAAACCCTAGAACGATTATAAAGTAAACCCTAATAAACCCTAAACCCTAATAAACCCTAAACCCTAATAAACCCTAAACCCTAGTAAACCCTAAACCCCCACTGACCTGCAGGCTCTGTTACACTTCCGCGCCCGTCGAGGCGAGAGACTCTTGCGTGCGTGCTTGCTCCCATCGGGGTTTAGGGTTTAGGGTTTGCAGCTTAGGGTTTGTGGTTTAGGGTTTAGGGTTTAGGGTTTAGGGTTTGTGGTTTAGGTTGTATCGGCGCTACAGCCGCGCTGATGATGAGGCAGACTACAAGTGGTTGGTGCGGTGTTTCTGTCAACTAGGAAATGTCTTTGGCTTTAATTCCTTCTGGTAAACCCTAAACCCTAAACCCTCATAAACCCTAAACCCTCATAAACCCTAAACCCTCATAAACCCTAATAAACCCTAAACCCTCCGCTAAGGGGTGTTTTATGCGCAGGGCCCCGCGAGACAAACAGCAAGTCCATGCGCTGCCTTCTTTCAAACACCTCGTCTTCGATTTAATAGAAAGAAAAGAACAGATACAGGCAAGGGTTTAGGGTTTAGGGTTTAGGGTTTAGGGTTTAGGGTTTCTTAAGGATTCGCTGAATGACACCCTTAGAGTTTGTCGTTTAGGGTTTAGGGTTTAGGGTTTATGCGTGGTGCGGCGATAGAAGTTCCTCTGCAGCTTAATGCCCAGGGTCTGACGATCAGGGTTTAGGGTTTAGAGTTTAGGGTTTAGGGTTTAGGGTTTAGGGTTTGGGGTGTCTGTACAGCCGGAGATGGTCCCCCGCATGCTTTATGCAATGGCAGCGTTGGAGTACCGCTCATATCATTTGCTGCCGACTTTGCTCGAGCACATTGATGCAAACCTGCATGTACACCTCAAACCCTAAACCCTAAACCCTAAACCCTTGGTCCCTGCTGGCAAGACATTTGAGCGCAGCTGTAGCAGCCTACGGCGATTGGGATGCTGCTGGTGCTGCTGCTGTTGTTGCTGCTGCTGCTGTTGCTGCTGCTGCTGCTATGTTTGCTTCTGCATTAATTCCTGCTATGTTTGCTGTTTGATTCTGCGTTTCCTTCTGCTGCGTCTACTTCTGCTGCTGCTGTTCCTGCTGTTGCTGCTGCTACTGCTGCTTCTGTTGCTGCTGCTGTTGCTGTTGCTGCTGCTGCTGTTGCTGCTGCAGCGGTGGCGTCTGCCTACTGCATGCAACATGGCGCTGTGTCTCGCTTTGCTTGGAGTCGGAGATAATTCAGGTGAATAAAAAATAAATAATAATTTAATTAATTTAATTTAATTTAATTTAATTTAATTTAATTTAATTAATATAATTTAATTTAATTTAATTATTTATATTTATTTATTTATATTTATTTATACACCGATCCTTACCTTCCTCTTGAACTCTTAACTTCTAAATATTATTAGAATATATGGATTATAAATTAATTAATATAAATTAAAACAAATTAATATTGATTAATTTATATTTATTTGTTTGTATTTGTTGAAGGCAACAACGCATTCGGCCCCTCAAACTGTCTGTCCAGAGATTACTCCGGTATAATAAACCGCTTGGCTTTGCATGTATATGCATGCATGCAGCAGCCGCTGCTGCTGCAGCAGCAGCTCGAACGTGCAGCACCAGCAACAGCAGCAAATCCACATTACTCAAACTCCCCCACTACCACCAGCAGCAGCAGCAGCAGCAGCAGCAGCAGCAGCAGCAGCAGCAGTTTGTTGCCGGGAGGGGGTTTTGTTAAGTACTTAGATGCATTTGGATGTACAGCGTTCGATAAAATTTCTCTTGCATATGCACTCGCCATCACCAACCAATATGAATGGTATCTTATCCTCCTGCTGCTGTTGCTGCTGCTGTTTCTGCTGCTGCTGCTGTTGCTGCTGCTGCAGGGGATGCTGCTGTTGCTGTTGCTGCTGCTGGGGATGCTGCTGCTGCTGTTGCTGCTGCTGTGGATGCTGCTGTTGATGCTGCTATTGCTGTTGCTGCTGCTGTGGATGCTGCTGTTGATGCTGCTATTGCTGTTGATGTTGCTGTTGCTGCTGCTGTTGCATTTGATGCTGCTGTTTCTGCTGCTGCTTTTGTTGATGCCGTTGCTGCTGTTGCTGTTGCTTGTGCTTGCCTTTAGTTGAAGGGTTTAGAGTATTAGGGTTTAGGGTTTAGGGTTTTCAACGGTTATTTGTTTGCTTTTGTTTTTTTTTGCTTTTGTTTGCAGCGGCCTCGAGGAGGGAAGAGAAGAAAACTCGCCAATCGTTTTCTTCATCAAAAAGGCATGCCAGCAGGTCAGCAGCAGCAGCAGCAGCAGTAGCAGCAGTAGCAGCAGCAAGAATAGCTGCACCAGTAGTAGTAGGAGTAGTAGTAGTAGTAGCAGCAGCAAGAATAGCAGCAGCAGCAGCAGCAGTAGCAGCAGCAAGAATAGCAGCAGCAGCAGCAGTTGCAGTAGCAGAAGTAGCAGCAGCACGAGCAGCAGCAGCTGGAGTAGCAACAGCAGCAACACGAGCAATAGCAACAACAACGAGAGTAACAGCAGCAACAGCAGCAGCAGCAGCAAACGAGAGAGTCTTGTGGTTTAGAATCTGTCTTCAAGAACAGAGCTTTTGCTGCATATGCATGCAAATCTTTTGTTTGTTTTTGCTGCTGCGGTGTACTTCAAATTAATTTGTCGCTCGGGTGTACATACACCTGAGAGTTATAATATATATATAATATACATATATATATATATATATGTTATACATGCACATATGCATACAGATCTCTCTCTCTCTCTCTCTCTATATATATATATATTAATTTATATATGTACTCCTCTTTCTAAATAAATATATATATTATATATTATTATACATTATATATATTATATATATATTATATAATATATTCGGGTGTATGTGCAGCTAACAGAGGAGACGCTTGAGCACAGCGGTTGGTTGCAGCATTATTTATATTTTCTTCTTTACCTCGCAGATGTTGAGAAGCCTGCAAACGAAGTTCAAATTAAAAAGTAAAGATCGGAAGAG